CCCGAGGGAGGGACGTTGAAAGTTATAATTGCGGCACATGCTGAATACGTTAGTTCGCTTCTGGGCTTGTAAAACCACGGGACACGCTATTCGGGTCCATCTCTCTTGCGCACTTTTCTCCGCTCCTCTTCTCGCAAATGCCCGGTCCCTTTATCATTCTCTAACTGTCTGGGGAACTATCGCGATCCCTCTGTCTCCCTTGCCGGCGAAACTAGCCCAGAACCGTGCCATTATGCTGGCCACGGATTTATTGCTGATGTTTTTGTCGTTACGCTCGCGAGATACAGCGGCTCATTTGGAAACTTCGTTCGACGGCTAGCACAGGGGGCCCGTGAACGGGTTTTCTCTTTTTTTAATCCTGGAGCTTTGACGCTGCCACGCGTCGTTTCAGCTTGGAATTAAAATTGAAACTTCCGGCGCGCAAAGCTTGCTGCACAAAGACGTGCGAAGTTGTAAGTGTCGAATATAAGCGATACGATTCGTTTTATGAGAATTTAAAATTGGTAGAATAGAATTGAAATTAATTCAACGGGGCAAAAAGATGCAGAAGAATTGAAAAAATGATCCGCGTGGAAAGTAATTTAGAAATAAGAAAATTTATGCGCAAGCCCTGTTTTCACGAAAATCGAGTTTGGTAATGCTCAGAAATAAAAACTTGGCTGACCCGTCTGACTATTTCTTGCTCTTTCTACTTGCGTCGATGTTTGCAAAGATTGACGATTGCACGATATGCTTCTATCGGTTGTAATTAGTTAAAAGATAGTAGAATCGACGGGAAGCACGTAATACCATATTATGGTCAACATTTGCAAGCTCCCAGCGCAAGTAGAAATCAGGAGTAATGGTCAGACATGTCAGCCAACTCGTACTATACGGCACAAAATTAATATTCCGAATCGATTTCCTCGGAAACGAAGCCACGAACGAAAACTTTCATCGCGGTACGATGAAAAGAGTGAATATTTTTAGTAGATAAAATCTGCAGTTTAAACTGATATTTTAGTTTCAGTTTAATTTCACTGCTATCAGAGATGTGATCGGCAATAAATGGAAAAAACAATGCTTTGTTAAGTTACAAATTCCACCGGTTATCTCGTCTAGAAATGAATTTTCTGTTATCTGGCCGCTCCCAGTGCCCTTCCGCAATAATTTACCTGCGTACCAAAAGTATACAGAAACGTGTATAAATTACGCGCGTACGTTGTTGGGCGAAACTTCTTCGCTATTTTCAATAAATAATTGCTGCGTTGACCCTACGATGTACAAAATATTTGTTGTAGATGTATACTTCGCAGCACTTCTTTAGGAAAGTAACGATACACGTAGCCTTATCTGTACTTAGGGTACTTTCCCTACCATATCCTCGATACCATATTGCACGTATTCTTAACTAGAAGGTCCACAACTTAGTACAGCGATTTTTCGCGAGGAGAGCAGTACCTTCGTAAAGTACTCCGCCATAAAAGGCACGAAACTTTTATAGCAACTTTATATAAAAACCCAATGCCTCCTTATAACCGTTTACCGCAGAATACGTGCTCCCCTCCACAGCAATTCTCTGAGAATACCAATATCTCCGCGTACCAATTTCCCCTGCCAAGAAACCAATTCCCTTTTATGGCAGTATTTCACGCGTTCGTATGTTCTCGAAAAGAAATCGCGAATTAGATATCGTAATCCGAGACGTGAATTTGTCTTTAACGCGGCGAGACTCGGCCTTCGGCTGCGATATATTGCAAAATATCGAATTACTCGCGCGCGACCGGAACGAAATGACTGTCCGACACGGCGATCGCTGAAAGTGTCCTTTAATAATCGCGCATTAATCTCCGACGACGTGCAAGCAACGATAACGCGTCACGAAAGTGTATTAAGCCCGACTGGAGTTAATCCGGATGAAGCTGCGAGCCTTCTGTCCCCGATAAAACGTCGAAGGATCAGCCCTCGCGAGCAGGGAAATCGAGCATGTCGATGTTTCGTCGAAGAAGACACGTTGTCGCGCTTTGAAAAAGCCCTGATCATCCGATTCGACGATTTTCCACCGTCTACGACCTATTTTTCTTGCTCGTGACTGTCATCCCCCGCGGATCGCGGACGAGATACCGATTCTTGAGCACCCGGGGACACATTGTTCGAATACTTGACAAGATCGACTGCTTCGGGCTGGTAAAAAGAAAAAAAAGAAAATAAGACATCCTAGTGTTCTTCTAGCGAAATTCTTGGTCGCGATCGAGAGAGCTGGAAACTCGGTAGTAAGTCTGTCAACAACGCTTCGGTAAAATATTGATCGAATCAGAGGAAGAGGAGAGAGAAGACGAAGTTTGCCAAGCAAATTGTTACGAAGAGGAGGAGTCAAGACGTAATGCTCGGTTTGAGGACTAGGTGGAGACCAAAATAACACACCCTCTCGAGCCAAAAGTATTTGCCCTGGATATTTATATTAAAAAATTGGAAATCTAACGATGATACTCGAGAAACTTTCGAGGACTCTCGATGTTACGACAGCCTTGAAAGTCTCGTACGTTGGCCTGTATTCTTCGGAGTATAAAAACGAAAGAAATAAAATACTACCGTCTATATATTTTAGAGAAAAAGGGAAATTTGAGCTATAACCCCCTAAAATTAGGCCCTGTCTAACTCACGACTTCGTTAACTTCGAATCCGTTCAAAAAATACGAAATCACGTCTGCCTTCGTAAAGAACTCTTATCAAACATCAACGTTCTCCTCTTATATATTTCAAACAAACTCACACCCAGCAAAGCGACGACTTAAACCCCTCCAACTTCCCACAAACAACAACGTACCTCGATTTCATTCAAGTCTGATATCACCACTTGAAACTCTCACGCATTTCTGGAGCACCCCGGCGCACTCGGAACCGGCGATATCGCGTCGATTAGGAACAAAATGGGGAAAAAGTTGCGGAGGACAACCTGGGTCCCGTGGAAGGAGTTGCCAGTCTTCGAAGCTTCTTAAACTCGATACGCCACAAGTTCGTCCCGAAAGTTTTTCCTGGGGAAAAGGACACAGGGAACAAGCCTATTTGTTCCGTTTGAGATTGAGTTCTCCGCCGGATACAATAACGAAGGAATGGAGCCCGCCGACAGGGACAGAGTGAAAACTCCGTGGGAAGTGCATAAACGTTAACGAAGTTAAATTACCGCGCCCCGTACTTCCACCCGCGAAGGGAGCAGTTACGAGGAAATCTGTTTTACTTATTACCGGTAGAACTTCCCTGGGAGGAGCGGCGGTCGGGAGCAGGGGAGAAAAGAAACAGAGCATGGAAATGTTGGCGAGGTTCTACGTGACCGAACTCAGGGCTCGTTGTATTAATATTCGAGGTCCGTAAGCTCCCGTATCGGGAATGATATAATATTTTCCCTTCCGAACGCATCGGAACCCCGGGTTTGCGCTATTAAACTTGGCACGCGCCTCCTCCCCAATTTGTTACGGCGCTCTGGAATTTACTTACCAGGCCTAACGACACGGTCTTTATCGCTCGAATAGCCAACAGCTTTCGACATTCGCAGCGGGGAACGGAAGCTGTAGTCTTGGAGAGAATTACAATCGCGAATGTTTCAGAAACAGTAAGCGCGTCGACCTCGATTTGACCCGGTGAGTAATTTGTATTATATTTTGCTATCGCGTCGCGAAACTCACGAGTGAAGAATATTTCCACGCAGTCAGTTAAAACGTAATCGTACTTGCCCGTGATAAAATAATTCCGATAGAAATTCCTGAAGAGCGTTTTCCCTGAAACGTGGCAAATTGAATCGCGTCATAGGGTCGTAATTTTCACGGGGTAACTATTGTCCCAGAGGAGGCTGGGATGCGACAGTAAACTGGGCTTAATCCGATCCGATCTAACTTCCGCCCCTGGCACAAAGCGAAAGAGAAACGGCCGACGAGAGATCAGACGTCCCCGAAAATGTCGCGGACCGTCCCAAGAGGCAGACGTAGACTGCGAAATACTCGGGCTGCACGTTTTTGGCCGTGTAATTAAGCGGCACGAGACAAAATAATGGGAGACGTCGACAAAGGCGAGGCCCTGGTCGGACGTTTCGCGGCCTCGTCCCAGAGACAAGGACAAAGGACCCGCTACATTTCGGACATTTGCATACCGTAGATTTGTGGCCGACGCGTGGAGAAAATAGCTGGCAACGAGTGCTGGAAAAATTACTCCTTAAGGGCTCACACCGCTCTTAAACGATCCAACGAATTATCTTCTTATCTTGAGAATTGATTCAACACTTTGAATGCCACCCATACAGCCAGTCTCACAAATATTCGTACCCTCTGAGTCTATCGAAGAAGTTTGTCTAAATTAACACTTTTGCTGCGGACAAAAATAAGTAGCTACGGAGCTACTTCGCTGAGGGCTGCAATTATGATATTTTTCTTTTTAATGAAAAATTTCTTACAAATGTTCTGATATGATTATTTTGAGAAGCATATATTTGTGGTAACTTATTTTATATATAATATGATCGCCGAACAAGAAAAATGAAAACTGAAAAACAATAAAAACAACCATATATTTTCAGTTGGACGCACATGTGCGTCATCCGCAGCAAAAGTGTTAAGTAACGGATTCGACGTTTTCGAATAAATGTTTCATTATAAATATGCACGCAAATAAACTTTACACTCGTAAGTTTAATTTAAACAAATTCCTTCAATAAACGCAAAGGGTACGAATATTTATGGGACTGAGTGTATACGTGTGACAAAGTATTTCACGAAGCTTGATTCATTTTAAGGGCCAAGTGTTAATGAAAGCTAATCTAGACAGAATTTATCAATTTTAATACTGTAATACAAACGTTAAATTCTATAGTTTCCAATTGTCTCGAGACAAAATTTAGTAGCAGACATTTCCGTTCCCTCTTTGGGAATTAATTCCGAGGAAGCGAACGCACCTCCTGATTTTTCTTTTTGCGCGATATTTACGTGTATCTTTGAGCTGAGAAATGTTTTTTCTATTTAAAAAATGCATACCCTTGAGGGCCGCTTCGAGGCCACGCAACCTGCCGACGACCACGGCGAGCTGCTCCTTGTGCTTCAAGGAATCGGCCTCTGCTTGCTCGCTGAGTGCTTGTTCCAGCTTTCTCTGAGCTTCTTGCTCCTTCACCGAGAGCGACTCTCGAAGGTGGTCGGTGTGCACCTGTTCTTGCAGCTTCAGCTGCCGTCGCATCTCGTCCTCGAATCTCTTCTGCTCCACTAACAACTGCAACACGTTATTTCACATCGCCTAAATTACTTGAAATTTCTATAACTATCTCGCATTCCGTTAAACTTTTCCAGTTGAAGGGTAACAAGAGAAATTAAGAGTAAATTTCCAAAATCGTTCTCACCAAAGAAATGATTTCGGATCGCGCTATGCAAGGTCACTACTCGGCGACTGCTCGGTCACTTTGAGTACACCTTGAAATTTAGGTGTATTCCCCGAGGTATTTGAATCCACTATCACGATAAAAAATTCAACGAGCTTTGAAACGCGAAGGGAGGAGGAACCGTAGCGATGCAGGACAAAAAGGCCAGCCGTCAACGAAACCACCTCTTGTATTCAGAACACGCTTTTCGGCAACGAGGGCGTAAACAAGTACAAAACAAGTACATCGAGTCGCTGTCGGGGGAGAGAAAGAGGGTGAAAGAAAAATATATATTCTTTCCGTTGCCGCCTTGCCCCGCTCCTTTTGTTTCGCGTTGGTTCACGCTGAAGATTGGGCCAAGTACGCTCTTATTTCCTCGTGTTTATAAGACACGAGACGAGACGAGAGGAAGGCTTTCAACGGATTAAGAAATATTATACTCGGTCGCGGGGTATGAAACAATTTTCTTCTTTCGGGGATATCTTTGTGTCGCCCCCAATCGCGTCGCGTCCTTTCGAAAATTCCTGACGAGACCAGAGGTGCTCGAAATTCTTTATTTAATTAGAAACGGGGACGCGTTTCTTCTTCGACTATAATGGCATTTATTTAATCAAAAAAGTATTTTCTACACGTTGGATGAATGGCGATAAACACGGAGAGGTCGATGGTGTCGCTTGGAACAAATTTATGAAGGACGCTTAGTATATAGCTGGAAAAAGAAACTTCTTATCCTCGTCGTTCGTTCGAGGACGATGATAACTGTTCAACCGAACATGGAAGCGATTCTATACGCGATAAATTTCGAGAAATCCTGGTCGAGCGGGGACGCGATTAAAGAGACCAGCCGTTCGCGAGGTGAAAGTGCGCTGTCCGAGGAGCGGGTCGTGGGAACATTAGCGTAATGAGACTTTGATTAATTATCCGCGCTTAAGGCTTTCGCGCAAGCTGCCCTCATTGGTAAGTGACCCAAGGCCCCCTCCTCTCCGCCGTAGGGGTGTCGCTAATCTCTCGTTTCTTCGTCGTCGGCAGCGGTGCCGCCGTCTGGCCGTCATTGTCCCACGCTCGCAGCTTCTGCTCGCTTTCTGCCCGAGGTACTTTGTATGCGCTACACGCCTACGGGATCCTTGTTCCTGTGACGGTTCAGGAGCGCGTCAGGGCCACCCCCGGTTCTCTATGTGCGGCAACGCCGTGTCAATAATTAACGCCCGGCTGACCCGACAACCCGTCCCCGCTGTACGCCGAGAGGAAGTGAGATCGACGACAGCTCTGCGAACACCACGGGACTCTAACCGATTCCTCGCGACACGCCGCTACCGAAATCCTTCGATTACCACCATGGATCCTCCCGGTGTTAGCTAGGACCTGCGGAGACCTGCGGGCTGGCCACGGATTCCATTAGGGCGTCGATAAGCTACCGTTTCTGGAGCTTGAACGTCATCGAAGAACGATGCCGGATAGATCACCGATCCGGTCAAATTGCCCGAGCTACATTGACGCAGGTAGATTGATATCTGACGAGGGTAGTTCGTGGCTACTGGGGGGGGGGGGGGTGCTGACGCATAGAGTTTAGGCTCTTAGAGTTTAGGTGTGGGAATTTTGTTAACCGACTTCGAAAAAGGAGGAGGTTACTCGATTCGACATGTATATTTTTTATTTTTACTTAAGTCTGAGGTGATGTGATTACGTAAGTACGTTTGGGTCATTTATGGCCTGTAGGTCCCTTGCTGGGAATGCTTCGTCGCGAGTCTGTTTATTAATCGTGTGGGAAACAAAATTGAAACGAGTGAGGACCACGTGTGAGTTAAACAAAAATTTCAGTCTTGCTAGTGTTTTTCTGTTCTACCGCCACAAAGTTTAGTAGTCGAGGAGGTTAACCAAGTGACGAGTAACGAGTAACCAAGAGAATCACATCTATGGTTTCCGAAAGCGAGCCGTCCGAATTTAATACGACTCTATCGGAGTTCGATCGAAATCGGGAAGTACACCGCGTAGGCGTACGAATATTCGGTTAATTTGAAAAACTCATAGTACACTTGCCGAGGGAATCGAACTGTTCGCGAAACGGGGGAATGAAAACACCTCCCCCGTGAATATGACACGCGCTAGAATTGAAACGGAAAAAAATGAAAACCGGACCCGTGGGGAGAAAAACAGAGGAAAACAGAAAATATGATTTCTGACAGCCGGGACGGTGTTTCCCACGCCGCGAGAATTAAATTAATCGAACGGTCACCGTGGTGTGTAGAAACGGGGGTCTCGAGGGGGGGGGGGGGGGAGGGATGGGGAAAAAAATATTGAGCAAAAACAAAACCCCGTTTTCATCCCGCGAGCGAAACGATCTGGCCCGGCCCGGAACGATGCTAATCCGGTGCGTCGTCCTCTAATCCGTTTTGAAAAATCAAAAACTGCCCCTCTCGGTGTCTCTGGCCATCTGCCCCGATGCCTCCGTGCGGGATCGGTTAAATCCGTCGGAAATAGAGCGCTATGATTGGTTCGGTCTTCCCAATTCGGGTAGAAGAATCTCGATTGCACCCGCGTCGAGCGACGGCCGGGTTTTATCATAGGGATGATGCGTTTCGAAATGTCTCCTGGTCGTTCGATTCTATTTTCTGTCCACAATTCCGCGCCCACGCTGCTGTAGGCAGGCAATTGCCCTTTCGACTGCGAAGGACGTACATATTCTCTCATAGAAAATCAGCATATATAATTCGGCAACGAAACGAAGAAGCGCGCGAAAATTTTTAATTGTCCCGCTTGGAAGTTGTTTCTTGAAAACTGAATTCTGTCCATCGTCGGCACTGTTTATAATTACATCGACCCAATTTGAATATTCACGAAGAAGCAACCGGAACGATCGACCCAGTTCGCGAGAATCGAAATCAATTGGGAGAAATTAGACGGGCCGATTCGGACTTTGATTAACTACTTAGAGAACATCAGTATTTTTTTTTTTTTTTTTTTTTTTATCGCGTACAAGAGGAACACGCCCGGAGGAGACGCGGCACTTTCGCGAATTTCGCGAAACTTTCGGATTTGTTAGGGAAAGTTTGGCCAACTCGATTCTAAGACGGTAATCGTGCCTTTCAACGCCTCGTCGGGGCCGAGTTCCTTAGCGGAATCGACTAGGGAGGGTCGAGTTTAATAACACGAACGCCAGTCCAACTGATGGTCGACGATCGATACCGTCCATTTCCGATCGACGTTCGAGAAGACATCCGGCTGTAATAGTTTCAGCCCGACGAGTTTGCCTGGGTGTCGATAGCCACGATTCGAGCAATGCCAACCCCCGGAATCCTCGATACTCGAGTCGATATTTTAATATTCATCTCCATCCCTCAGTGATTCCCAACTGAACGTCTTTTTAATTGAACCGGGTATGTTTGAACGGGATCGCAAACGAGAACGTGAAACGCAATTTCAGGCTGAAGGGAAGTTCCTTACGTTTCGATTTGCTTTTCTCCTTTTTTTTTATTTTTTTTTTATTTTATTTTTTTTATCCTCCGTTCAGTCCACTCCGCGATACCTGAATCACTTTGTAGTATTTTGTAAATTCTCTATTTTATGTTTTACTTCTATTTCTTCTCTACATATAATACCATCATTCAAGCCGCTGAAAATGACTCGAATCCGACGATTGTTCCTGCAACCACGAGCTTTCGATTTTTAAATCCCTTCCCCTTCGAATTTGTTATGGAACTGTCCGTTACAGGTTTTCGAAGGAACTCGTTAGTATCGAGCACTCGATCCCCGCAGAGACAAATCAACGTCGACTGGTATCGAATAGCAATTTTCCAAGAGTCGTGGATTAACTTCGGCGAATCGACGACGAGGAGAAATCGCGATGAATGCGAGGCAGGGAAGGATTTAAGGCTATTAGAGAGCTGGCGAGCCCTCGCCGACGAATCACAATTTCCATGAAAGTTTACGACAGGAAGACTCGAGGCGTTCTCCGAGCCTCCGTTTCGTCTTCGAAATCCGTGGAACGGTTCGTTGTTATGCTTGACAATAGGTCCGAACGAAACATCCGCGGAAACAAAGAGGAGAACGACGACAATTTCCAGACGAGAATCCACGGATCTCGAGATCGAATCACGAAATCCCTTCTTTGTTTCCGTACCGCGATTATCGCAGTCCCACTAATTTCACGACAGCCCGAGGAACGCTGCGAACAAAATGGCGAACTGGACTCGCGACTTCGTCGTTGTTATTTCTGTGTTACGTGTTCTTCGTTGCCGAAATTTCAATTGGGAATTAGCTCTGCCGCTTTAAGGGATGGAGGATATAAAATAAAAAATAAGAAAGATGTACATTGGACGTTGAGCAGGAGCAAAGAAATTCAAATTACTCGCCTAATTATTATCGGGAGTAGCAATACGGCTAATCGGATCACGAGACCCATACTTTTATAAGAAAGTGGAAAATTGCATTCCGCCTAAAGTATCCGTGATGGCACGCGAAAGATGAGAAGGCTCGATAAAGGTGAATATCCGATGCGTCCATTAGCGATCTTAGGAAGAAAGATTAAATCTATTCGCTATGATTCAAGAGCGACGAACTTAGGCAGATCTAGCTACAGACGAATCGTGGAATTCACAGACGAATACCTCCAAAAATAGCAACGGTATCGAAGCCCATGCTTCTCTTTCTAAACTCGGAACGCGTTAGATATTCTTAGGCCTGAAATTTTCTCAAATCTACACGGAACTCGATAAAATATTGTAAGGATATTATTTTCTGGATCATTTCAAGTCAAAGTTCCAAGTCTCGACTTCCAACGTTGATCCAGGAAAAAAAAGTAACGTTCGCCTTAAAATCGCGTTAGGGAGAAATTTTCATCGTGTCTCCTGACGGCATGTTACGGTCGGTCGACTTTTAAATTATTCCACGCTCCGGCAGTAAAGTTCGGGGCATCCGTGCTGGGACCAGAAGGCGCGGGTCAGCAGAATCGATTTCACGCGGAGGGCAACGGGAAAAGGATCGAAAACGTCCGATTACATCTGCCTCTAACGTGGGAATTCCTTGAATTTACGAACGCCCCCGTGAAACACGCCAGTGGCCAGACGACCGCGCTTCTAGCCGCAATATTTTCTCCAAAGTCGGATGTTTCCGTCGTAAAACCAGATATACGATCCACGACGCCGCACGATCCCTTGCCACGCGTTAAAGAATCCCTCGAATCTTCTGGGACGCGTCGCGAAATACGAGAAAAACAGCTTTCGGTCTCCCAACGCGGAGAGAAAGAGCGAACCAAACAGGTAGCGTTCTCCCACAGGGCTGGAATTACCTGAATGTTTACTTAATCGAATATTCGAACACTTTAAAACGCTTAAAACGCTCGAATATTTATTTATTAAAATCTCGTTCAAATACTTGGAATTCAAGGAAATCCCTTCGTTTTTCGTGAAGCATCCACCTTATTCGATTTAAGTTTGCCCAATGTTCTTTGCAAGATGCAGGTGTATTCCCTAAGAAAATTTTTTCTCGCGGTCTACTATCGCTTTCCGATTTTTGGCTTTTACAATTACCTTTATTTTATGTCACATGTCCGAGTCATTTCACGTCGGATCGAACCGCAGAACGGGTGACGAATAATTAAATGGCCACGGTATGATAGAATTGTCCCGTTTCAATAAGTGGTCCCGATGTTTATTTAATCCGCCATTATCCGGCGTTTCTAACGTTAAATTGAACTTCGGTTCAATGCTCGTCGATTAAACGAATATATTTGAAATGATAATTGGAGGAAGTACGTGTCCGGGGTTGCATATTTAACGTACCGCCGGAAACGAAATTCGTTTGTTCGGAGTTGTTCCAGACAGGGAAACGATCGATGAAATTTTCATGGAACTTGAGTAAACACGAGCAAAACCGCTTCGTAAATAATTGGGAGAGTCTTCCTGGGGTCCAAGAATTTTATAACCGTCGATATCCAACGATTACTTCGATGATCTAGCCTAGAATTCATTGGTTGGAAGTAATTATACAAGCGTCCCGACCGAGAGAGGAATCGCCAGGAGCAAAATGCGGAAAATCTCGTATAGGTCGTCAGAAAACTATGACGACAGCGCGTCATAGTGATTCCTGAGCGAGGATATCTCGATGTGACTAGTAGCGTACACGCCGGATATACCGCGAGGCTAGTCTAAAGAGATAATATTGCCTCCCACTAGCGAAATATTGGCGGCGGGCCAAATGGAAATAGATAAAAAGCCCGAAGGGTGGCGGAATCGTCCCTCCATCCTGTGCCCCTCTTGCCGTGCCAAACCGATAGGTATATGTACATATATGCAGGTACATGCACGATTGCAGGATATGGGATATGCCATATCCCATGTGTACGCGTTCACAATGCCACTGTGAGTGTATCCCAGGCTTTCCAATGCCAAATTCTTCCTGTACCATAAAGCTCCTGTACACGGGGTGACCCACAAATAACGCTAACACTTTGGTAGCTTATTCCACACGAATAATTCGAACAGTAAAACAGCGCGATTACCACATCTTACTGACTAAGCAGTGACATATTTAATTTTCTTACCTTTTTGTTGAACTCCTCCTCGAGGAACATCTTCTCCTTATCCAGCTCCATACACACCAGCGCGTCTAATTTTTCCTGGCTCGCCATGTCACCGGACGATCGTAACGCTGCCTTCAGTTTGTTCTCCTCGATCGTCTATGACATTAAAATGAACGCGCAGACATGAATATTTGATGACCCTGTTTTAAACGGAGCACCGAGACGCTTACCCTCAGTTTTTCCATCTCCTTTTGAAGGTAGCTCACTTTATTGTACATGTGAAGCACGAACAGGTCGAATGATTCCTCGTCGATGGATAATTTCTTCTCGTGAATGTTCATATTCGGGAATAGTATTCGCAACTCCTCGTTGAGGTTCTCGCGAGCGGTTTTTACTTGATTCCAATAGCGCTCCGCGACGTTGCCTGCTTGTATCTCCATCTGGTATTTCTTTTTAGCTTCGTCAACGTCATCCAAAATTTTCTTGATATTCCTTCTAGCAGCTGTTTTCATATGCGACGGCGCATCGAATTTAGGATCATCGATTAGGGAGAACATTTTCTTGAGCAACTCCGATGCTTCGGTAGCATGCCCTTCTGCTTGCTGAACCGCTTGTTTCCTCTTCTCCGTTGCCTCCTTTAATCTGTAACGCGAAAATAGTTAAATATAAGTTCGATATTATAAACCAGCAGGAGGTTTAAACTACAGGCGTGAAAGATACCTGTTCCATACGACGTTACTGGTACTATCAACGTTATCCACGACTTTCATTACGTCTTGCTTGTAATCTTGGATAGCACAAGCTGCTTTCTGATAAGCTGCGATCGCCTTGGATGCGGTCTGACCGCATGATGTTTCTAATTCGACCAGACTTTCGGGCATCAATTCCTTGGGTACATCCTTAACTGGTGGTGCTGGTTTTTCGGCAACTAAAAAAAAAGTTCACTTTTATGCAACTGAACGAAAATTTCGTTGTATCAACTTTTATGTCAGGTAAAAAAAAAAACGTACCGACTTCGATCTGTTTTCCTTTCTCTTTACTTAATCTGATTTCAGAATACGGTTCGTTAATAGGCGGTTCCTTCTTATCAACCAGTGGTACGAATGCTGGTTTTGGCGCTACAGTACACATGTTATCATAAAATGTTAGTAAGCAAAATAATCGTTATATTAAACAAAGTGTTCTTTTTATATAATAAAATCTTTGACACTTAGCAACTAAAAAAAAAGGATAGGGGAAATTAAGGATTCGGGAATTAGTAGCGGGGCTCACGTATATAATCTTCAAAGGTCATGCAATCTATACTTTTCTGAAAACCCTGACCTGACTTTTTTTCTGACTCGTCCCCAAAGATGGCACTTATTATTCTGAAAAAGGAAACACCCATTTATTATTAATATGCAATAATTAATTGCTCAATTAATAATACCATTAATATGGTATTTAAACTTACTGTTGTTTGAGTGTTTCGAAGAATGTACGTATGAACTCGAAATAAGATGACTCCTCCTGAAAGATGATCTGAATCGATTTGTCCGTGCCAGGTACCCATCCTTCCAGAGCTGCACGGAATTCTGGATTGTTTTTTGCATAAAGTAATATTCCCGAAGCGCCTATTGCCACAGCAGTCAAAGTTAACAATGCCCTGCTACCTCCTCGACTCTTCTCGCTTTTATAATAAACATTGTATTATTAAATTCATTTAGAATATGTTTAAATGAAACAGTAATTCATACGCCATGATGAAAAGCAAAAAAGAAAGCACATGATAAAACAACTTGTAATTCAGGAATTGTAAGGAGCCTAAACTATTTATAATTAAAAATATCTAAGCTCTTAAAGATCCATACATAAATAACATTTCAGTCTTCAAAATTCAAACAGTACATAAGGAATAAGCAATAATTTAATAGTGGATATATTTTAGTGCCAGTGCTCAAATCTTTTGCAATGAAAACAACAGCTGAATTAGAATGATATCGTGCACAGAAATAGATCATGCATGCAATTTTGTTATGTAACACAACAGGAACAATTTGCTTAGGTTTAAATTTTGAATACCTCTTTGACGAATCGGTTGAATACCTATGTCCAGAATAACTGGACGTAAGTTTGACATCCTTGAAAATCCTAAAACACAAAACTGAGCTCGTATAAAGTACATTTTCTTTTCCTGATAAACATGATACTTGAAGAATTTCTTTCAACATAACACAGTGGAATACATGTGTACAATTTATCTTTAGCTCTTGTAATAACTACATATAATGAGAGTTAAACAGAAATCAATCATAGTAACTCTGCACTAATTTCGTAACGAAAGATGTTGGAAGCTCAAACAAAACGTATGAAATCTCAGAAGGATTCCAACTAAATTGCATTAAATATTCGTAACAAACATAACCTAACGCAAACCTAACCCAAAAAAATATATTCGGAAATTACATGAACTCTACGATTGTTCATTAAAACACGGTTCGTAAGATCAGAATAAAAGCAACAAGTAAACGCTTCTTTGTCTGAAAAACGATGACAGCGTTTGACAATCGTGGAAACGTGTTATCAAACAAACAGAAAATTCGTTCACTCACCCCCATTCCGGTTCGCATTTAACTCGTGCACGTGTCTCGTAACACCTGGTTGTCAAATAGAGTTTGGAGGGTCCCTGTTTTTTTATCTGAAAGGACAACGGCGCCAATGAAATCGTCTGGAATTATGTAAGCTCCTAAATTTAAGCCATCTTGTCACACGAGGCAGTCAACCTTGGTCTTGTCCGCAGAAATATTCACTGACAACTTGCAAAAACGTCGCCGTGGTGACACGGCCACGATTTCTCATACAAACCACGGCCCGTTTCTCGTCGAATTAACGATAAACAACGGCAAGAAATTAAATATTATTAGGAGAAACGTCGCGACAATTAGCGTATCAAAACGTAGCGAACAATGCTTTTTAATCCGCGTTCCTTTCGTATCTTTCCTTAAATTCGCGCATCGCTCGAACACACGGTTTATACGGGTACAAACAATTCTCTTTGTACTTACTTTACGTACCCTATTTAAACCGTTGCACGGAAATTTTAATCCAATTCGGAACATCTTTCGGGTGGCCGGTCAGGCAGCCAAAGGAAAAAGGGAACGACGGCACAAAACAGCTGGTCACCGACGGAACTACAGGAAAAGAAGAATGTTGCGTATTGTTAGCACCGCGATTCGAGGTGGGTAGCACAAGTTTATTCGCGAATCTACCACCGCCGTCTCTGCAAGGTTAAATAATCGTTCGTTGCCGTCATGTTAAGTCATGATTTGTCCAAATTCGATAAATCGTTGCACGATAATCGTCCGAAGTTCGTCTCTTATAGGTTATGTTCAATCGAGAGGGAGGAGAGCCATTACGGTTTTCTGATCGAAGGAATGCCGTGGAACGGTAACCGCGAGCGCGGCTAATTAAAATCCTGTGTAACAAACTCGAATCTAATCGAGTAATTTATTATGAAAGTGGTCATGAATTATCTTTGTTTCGAGATGTAGCGAAAGATTGTAAATTTCTTCTAAAACTACACTTTGTACTACAAGGTCTTTGTTACTGTTTACTATTTTTACTCGAAACCTTTACATCTCTAGAGTAATAAAAAAAATCATCTATGCAATCCATATTTTGCATAATTTTATCCCGCAAAAGTACCCCTTTTCTATTATTTTCTACAATTATTATTTTCTTTATAACTAACATTACTTTAATTCTCTGTATTTTAGGAATCGTTGCTCGTACCAATACTATAGGTGTGGCAAACTTGTTAACCTCTAAGCAGTATCCTCTTGTTCAATGTGCGCAGCAAAAGTACTTTGGAGCGCTTTCTTCTGTGGTCAATGGTTGGAATAATGTTGGTAGCACAGAATTGAAGCTGAACATTACTCCCTCTATTTTACCAGTTACGGTACCAGCAAGATCAATCACAAAATTTTCTCTATTAAAAGGCAAAAGGAAATCTGCGAGAACCGTACTTAAACGTTTTTACAGATTAAATTGGTAAGTCATTTGTATGAAAAATGTTAGTATATCGCGTAACGTATTCCCAACATATTTTATTTAATAACAGGGGTATATGGATCAGAACACGTGCTGGACGTCATTCTCACCTATGGACGAAAACACAAAACAGAAAGCATAGATTAAGGCAACACGTTTTCTGCAATGCAACGCAGTCTACTTTATTAGACAAAATGGTGACACGCTATTGGAAAAGACCACATTATTACGTCGATGATCCCTATAATCCATATCATTCACGCGAAGAATTCCCCTTAACAAGAAGGAAGCCCCTGCCTTAAATAGCTTAGACATATTGAAGCAAACAAAAAATGTATATGCTACCGAACACAAACAGGATTCAGTGTTTATTACAATCTTGATAATGGAAACAATAAGATGGTATTAATTTTGGTTAGGTATTTTAATAGAAAATATAATCGATCATATTAGCGCATTCTTTTGTGTTGTCAAAAGCAGTACAGATAAAAATTAAAAAAAAAATAAGATAAAATTTAATAAATCGGAATTACGATCGAGAGGTTGATTGTTTTTTTATCGTCACAATACGAACGAAAATAACAATTAAATAGATGTCTATATGGTTTTGAAGTTGATCATTTTGTACTAGAGGTCACATGTTCATCCCCACTACGACTCGACAACGCTAGTCTGGCGTAACGCGTTCAGTCGTCGCTCGTCCTTCACGACGAACGTTCTGTCTTTGTCGACTGCTGGTAATTACTCTACATTTCTCCCGTCGGAGATAGTTACGTTACTACCTTCGTATACCGCCGCGCCTACTATTATCAAGAAAAGACGATGCCTTATCGTGGCAAATTACGATTGTTCAGTAGAGCATGCTTCGCGTTCAAAAACTCGTGCGCCGAGAAGAACAACACGCATTTCGCTGTTAACATTTGCGGTAGGAATTTCTCAGTAAGCGGCGCGCTCAACATGAGGTGAGTAAAATCTACCCGGTGTTTCGACACGATAGCGATTCGCGAATAATCCCAAGGAACCCTAAAACGTCAGATTTTAGGCGTTAATCAGCGTTAATCAAATTTCGCGCGGAATGTTACATTGACGACTCTATCCAATTTTTACAAGTTCTTTTTTTGTTTACCCTTCCGTCTACTCAGACACGAATCGATTTGTTCGAGAATGGTTCACGATGTTAATAGACACGATTACGTATAAGTTTCATGTACTGTCTGAATGAAAATGTTTGCGACGCAAGCGAAACGTGGTTTCGATTCGATGGCGTGTTCGAGATGAGCAAATTTTACGAAAATTTGGGAAATAATATCTAAAAGAGGCTTTGAAAGTTAATCGAGGGTAGAAAGGACTGCAAATTATTGCGTATATGAGATTAATCTCAGACGTCTTTCTAAGTTTAGACACTTGAGTCGAGTCATGCTCAAGGTGTCATTCACCGACTTTCGTAGTGGACAAATTGCGTAGGTCGGTGCACGGAGAGGTGCGGATCGATTTCGTGTGATAATTGATCAGCTAATTTGATTGAAACACTCGAATACATTTGATTAAACGTAATTATATCATCGACGCCGATCGAGTCTGAACTTGTACACGTACGAGGCACTGTTCACGCTGAACGTAGCCGCATATGTATGGAAGACGTGCTATCAAGCAGACACGAGTAAAATTCTTATCTGGATAAATACTTTTTAATGCGTTGCCCGTTTAAACAAAAATTGAAATCTGCAGCTGTGTATAATTTATTTCAGACTGTGTTACATATTGAACAGATAACAGCTTTTATATAATAACATTTGTAGTTTTCAATTATTGTGATAAGCAACAGCTAATAAATTATTAATCAGCTGACAAATAAATTAGAAATGTAAGGAAATACGAAAGCGATTGCAAGGGTAATTAAGGTTGTTCGCTATTGAAATTAACGAAACCGTTTCGCGTGTTCTACACACAGGTCAGATTGTAAGCAACGAGATAATTACTCGTGCAACCGGTCCCGAGTAATGCCTGGTTCAGGTTTTTTTTACTCATTATCCCCCTTGATTTGTCCATATTGTTTTCTGCGAAATGTTTGCTTTCGACCTTTTCTCTCCGCCATGCATCAACACCGAATATTATTCGCACGAGAAACGGGACAGGTGGCAGCAAAGTTGATCAGACGTTCGCAGATAATTCATTCATATGATTCATTCGTTGCTTTTGTTTTGACTCCGTAGATTTAACGATACGATCGATTTTATCAACCCGTGAAATTCATAAATTCGTAAGAAGTCGATAAGCATAGATCCTACGATGTTAACTAAATCCAGAGTAATTAATTTGAAATTTAATAAATGTAACTGTAACACATGAATTGAATTTTAATGTGCGTTCATGGCCTGTAATGAATTCGTAGTTCGCTCTTGTTTTTATTTATTTAATATTAACGATGTCAGCACAAAAAGATGAATATTGTTATGCGCGATAATTACATTGTCTCAATCTTATCAGTTGTTATTAGTAATGGATGTAGAAACGCATTTAACATTTCATTAAGATGCATATATCACTTATGCATATTTTTCATTCGATTTCAAGTGTGTACTCGAGACACACCCTTATCGAGCCATCGAAAGTTATCGGTCGACTGTATTTCTTTTTTACCGATCACACGTCTCGAGTGTACGCGTATAGTATAATAACAAACCTTGAGATTTATCCTCCTCTTTGGGCAGCGCAAGTATGCAGAGAGGAATTGGTTTTCGCTTTCACATAAGTCTGTTCATCACAATTGGCTCGTAGGTATGGATAACGTTATCAACCAGTTATTGGTTGAAGAAAGAAGGACGTAAGAAAACAATTCGTCAACGTGGAATTAGATAAACGACCAAAAAAATACAATTGGAACATAATATTTACATAATATTTGTTAACAGTTGAATTTACCGAAAAGTCAAATTACGTTGGGATCAGCTGATCACCAAGTTTAGCGAAAGGATACTACCAACCAATAACGTTTGGTTGCTCCCTTCCCACTAGCCCAGACATGGGCGTGGTCTACAGGGTGATTCACAGTAGGAGCGTGACTTGAATCAACCAATTGTGTTATTGTTCGTTAATATATTCACGAGTAACATCTACTTCAATGATTGTATTCGCTGCTTAACCGTGGATTTACATATAATAAACATCTGACGATAAAAACGTTGTATTAGATTGTCCCAAAAGTTTCTTTCGCTTTATTAATAATTAATACATGCACAATAATTTATGTTTTATGTTACATTGCTGAATTGTGCGCGATTCATTTTGCTCCATTACTGTTACAACACGAGTATCTATGAACTTAGATTGTCTATTTATATAAACACGATCACACAAAATAATTGAGTGCAACTCGCGAAAGAAACTTTCGGGACAACCTAATATATTTAAAAGACCGGATTAAGCTCGTTACTCAACCATTCTTGCCGTTTGGGAATCGTTTGTTTATTACTTTTTCTCGTTGTTTGTTCACCAGGTTCGTGCAGTTCACTAACAAAGATGGAGGGCCACAGCACTTGGGTGTGCAACTGAAACAAGGTGGTGACATAATTGCCGTGTCCGCGGTCGACTCGCGGATTCCTAATAGTTTGAGAAAATTCCTCGAGGGCGGCGACGACCTTCTGAAAAAGGCGAAGAGGTAGGCGTGGTCAGGTTAATTCACGGTCAGACTGAACAACAAAAACAACGATTAAACGTTCGCTTATCTCGCATTATCGAGGCGGCAGGCCCATTGATTGATTCGCATATCGAACGTGACAAACAGCAGTCTACTTGTACAGGGTGTCCCAAAACTCGGGGATGAGCCGGAAATGGGGGGTAGCTGAGACGATTCTGAACAACAATTTCCTTTGCAAAAATGTCGGATGGGGCTTCGTTAAGGAGATATTAAGCGAAAACACCGACCAATCAGAGCGCGCGTAGACCGTTGGAGCGACCGCGGTAGCGAAGGCTACGCGCTAGGTCGATGCTTCGATGCACGTCGAGTCACTTGTTCGCGTGCAAGCGCGGCCACCAGCGCGTAGCCTACGCTACCGCGGCCGCTCCAACGGTCTACGCGCGCTCTGATTGGTCGGTGTTTTCGCTTAATATCTCCTTAACGAAGCCCCATCCGACATTTTTGCAAAGGAAATTGTTGTTCAGAATCGTCTCAGCTACCCCCCATTTCCGGCTCATCCCCGAGTTTTGGGACACCCTGTATACAGGATGGTCCATTAAAACAGGTCACTGTTTCGTAATGAAATTGTATCATGTACAGGAGGGTTCGATTATGAACTAGGATTCCTAAATATCAAGAAATGTATTTGTTAAAAAAATTGTTACCTAATTTAAGTAGTATCATATCTATCAATATACAGAATGTGGTCGATATTGATAAACCTACTATTTAATAATACAATGACGTTATGTACTTGTTTTAAATCGCCCGAAGATCGTCTGTTTCCAGAAGACCACCGTGTACGTAAATTGTACGAGTAACTTTCGCGACTGTGAAATCGGAATATACAAGATAGTAATGTTATCTAACGAGTCGTACAGGGATTGAGAATACGTAACTTGATTACTAAGGCTATCAGTGGGCTCTAATTCTGAAGATATTAATCTAGGCAATAACACGCTTATCGCGCCGTAAACATCGCTGCAAATCGGTAGCTTCTAACGTTTGGTATGCGTGGAAATTGCACACGGTTTAGAAAATAATCATTTCTGGCTTTTAATTGTGTAGCAATGCGGAGACGATATTGCCGCGATTATTCGTAAAATTTGATTTCATTGTGAACCATTTTGTCACCAGGAATGACGATGTCGATCTGTGGACCCTGTTAGAGAGGTTCGTTTTTTGAAAAGTTTAGTGTGGAAACTACTCTTTGCGCACCTGATCCCCGCAACAAGACTTCTATTGAACGTTGATTCGTTGTGTCTGTGTACGTCTGTGTAGAGCTCCCTGTTCGTTCACGCAACCCATACACGATCCGTTATTGAGCGAAAGTTGATCCGACTCCTTGAGACTAGGGTTGGAAGTAGACGAATTCGTTTAACAGATTCAAACATTTCACCATACAATTCGAATACTTGAATATAATTATTATTCTATAATTATTATTCTATAATTATTATTCTATAATTATTATACTAGTTTTAAATCTGTCTAATTTTAATTCACCGAAATTGTATAGTAAATGCAGCGTGGGTATAAAGCGGGATCAGTGATCCCAGCCCTAATCTTTACCAGTAATCATTCAGCACAGTCACCTGTTTCTTGTACTCGAGCATTGTTTATAGTAGCTTGATCCGTCACCCGTTCGATCATCGCATTACACGGAATGATATGCAAACAGAGATGTAAATTAATTATGCAAAGTGTCGTATCTCGTAATAGTTTGTCGGCAGTATGTTACACATTATACCTGAGAGTTTGCATACACACCACGTGCATGGTGTTCGCCTCTAAAGTACTAACCACTTGCGAGTCGTTTTTTAATAGACTTATCGTATAGATTTAGCGAAAGTATAGTCGTTAGCGACCTTTATTTTTCGCAGTCGTTGATGAATAGAGTTTTGTCGAACGCAGATGTTATTTTACCATTAACCTAATCTGGCGCCATGTCTGCGTGCCAGTTGGCGAATTCGCAAACCTCTGGGCCAGCTTAACCTTTTCAGTGAAAGCATTGCGACTGAATGAAACCTCGTGCGCGATGCTCTTTCGACTAATCGTTGGCGCATAAATGCGACCGGTAAACAAATCGTCGGCATTCGCGGGATTCCCTTCGATTAAACATTCCATTCTTTTTCCCGCGAAACGCACACGAACATTTTCATACTCCGTTGCAATTAAAATTAAATTATATTCCACGTTCCGACCTTCGTTTTAGGAGGCGCATGATCTTAAGTCTACGTATACACGTGTGAAAATAGTAAAATAAAAATAACCAACGAAATGAAATATTTGGCAACAGAATGCTGGTACAAGGATAAAATAAACTCGTGCTTCTAGCTATAACGTCTTTGGCGCCTAGTCATGGGTTCTCTTTGATGCACATTTTTCTTTATTATTAAATCTTATTACGTAAGAACCTAGATCAGTTCAATTTCTGAGTCGGAATTAGATCTGAGTTGAAATAAAAGTCCGAAGAATTTTGTTCGTGCACTGAAAATAGTTGGAAAATCAGAATAAATTTCGACTCGAGAATCGATAATGTTCCATTTAACGTGGCATCGTTTGTTTTTGAGTAACCAGTCCACCAGTAAGCTTTCACTGATAGGATAAGCCGAGTGTTAACCAAAGTTGCCGAACGTTGCCAGAAGGTGAGACGTGTAACACGTTTTTAACGTGTCCAACGATTGCAGAATAGTGGCCGAAGGACGAAGCGTGATACCGGAAGCTGATGTGAAGTTCCTGGCGCCGGTGACGCGGATGGACAAGCTCGCGTGCGTTGGTTTGAATTACATCGGCCACTGCGAGGAACAGGGCCTATCGCCACCGGAGAGTCCTGTTATATTCAGCAAATTCCCCAGCAATATCATCGGTCCGCGGGACAACATCATGCTCCCCTCGATTTCCGACGTAAGTTCAAGAGCAATCGTCGGTGTTCGAGATCTGGGAAGTCGTCGACACTCGTAGGAAATCTCTCCGCTTAGCCGTGACCGCTTATATTTAGTCGCGTTGATTATGCAACGTGTTAACGGACCGTCGGGAGTTAATAATAGAAGCAATGTATAGTTCAAGAATTATGTAGATCAGTTGCGGCTGATCTTCAATGAATTCTGATTGTTTGGAGAAGGTATCTGGTCCGATCGATATGCATTAATATACCAGGAGGTCAAAGTATAATAGAAGTACACTGTTACAGATACCAGTAGAGCTATATTTTTTAATTATGGTTCGCGGAATATCTAAAGAGGACATCGGTACTTCTTCTGGCTATTAGAATTACATCGGGTATAGAAAGTATTCGTACATCGATCAATTTCCAAAAAAAAACTATGTAAAATTGTAATTTATTAACTTATTTTTTATAAACAACGACATTCTACATATTCTCGAAAATCTATAGAATAGATAGATTAAAAAAAAAAGAATAGCTATTATGTAAGTTGCGAAATTAACAAGAAAAAAAAACAATTAATCGATGGAAACATCGAAGCAATAAGTATTCGCACAACTGTTTAATTTTTAAAACTTCATTACAAAAAAAAAAAAAGAAATTTACATTACTTTATAAGTATGTAATACTTCCTTCGTGGGATTTCCTTTTAATTTTATAATTATTGCGACTCTTCCAAGTGTCGAATTAACTAAATTATTAGTTATTCGAAAGGGGTTGGGATCTTTTTCCATTTTCCTCTATTAGAGCCATTTTTAAAAGTACTTTCCTGGAAATTTGATGTTTTCTAATTCTTAAAAAAGCAATAAACTAACGTGTTTGCGTTACGAACCCTCACTGTAAACGGTTCGTCGTAAGAATCGTACAAATATTTATTGCGTCAATACTTTCACCCACTTGTCCTATCTTTTTGTTAATTTCACAAATTGTATCAACTAGTAAATGTTGTTTGGGCTATATCTATCTCAGGGACTTCTGAGAATATGTAAAATATCATTGATTATAAAAAAAAAAAAAAGAAGGTAAGGAACTTCAATTTCGCACCAAAGTTTTTTGGGAAATTGATCGGTGTACGAATACATTCTACACCCACTGTATATTTCACGAAGTTAAGTAAAGTCTCTGAAACTCGATCGACAACGGTACTTGTTATCCTTTCCTAGGTAGGTTATAGACATCTAAACGACAAATCTAATCGCCTGGCCTCATTCCCGCCACTCCGCTTCTCCATGCTCTGAGCCACCGTTTCAGGGATTCTATTACGCTTGCTTAGTCGTATTTATTATATGATAGGAGAAAAAGGATCGGCCGATTCGTATCTCTATGATTGTAGACCGCTAAGAGATAAATTCGGATATTCATTGATGTTTCTCTTGTAATTCTTCCGGCAGAAAGTCGACTGGGAGGCCGAGCTTGCGATAGTAATTGGCAAAAAGTGTAAAGCGCTGAACAATGACGAAGGGGAAGATTGTATTTTCGGTTATACAGTGGCTCAGGACATTTCGGCGCGGGATTGGCAAAAGTCGAAGAGAAACGGCGGCCAGTTTCTCATTGGAAAAGCGATGGACACGTTCTGCCCGTTAGGACCTGCCGTCGTCACTAAGGAGTCCGTATGCGACATCAACAATTTATCCGTGAGAACATGGGTGAATGGCAACATTAAACAAGACGGGAACACCTGCGAACTGATCTTTAAACCCCACGAGATCGTTGCCTACATTTCCCAGTAAGTACAGTGTCCTTTGCGAATCAGTTTCTTTGTTAGGGAAATTGTCCAGGCAGTGGTTACAGTATCGCTCATGGTCTGTTCGTTTGTCGTTCCAGCTTAATAGCTTAACAACCATGTAATAACGTTAGCAATCGTTCCATAACTCATAAATGACGAGTTACATACCAACAGGAATTTCATTACGTAATTACGTTTTTCAGATTTATGACTCTGTTACCTGGAGACGTAATTCTAACGGGTACACCAGCTGGCGTAGGCTTTACCCGCAAACCGCCAGAATTTTTACAGGTACTTAAAGAAACAGATGATTTATTTCCTGTTTCTACTTGATGACTGACTTTGTGTATTCGTTTTGTTTTAGCGCGGAGATGTGTTGGAAACTGAAATAGAAGGCGTGGGGCGTCTACGAAATAAAGTTCTCTGATGCGATGATCAGAGAGAACGTACAGAAGCGATTGGTCCTGAAACGTTTCAGGAGCGTAATTACCGTCAGGACGTCACGGATAAATCACGAACCGTTCTGAACAGGTTCCATTCACGACAATGAGGAGGGGGAACGAAATGATTCGAGACAAATAAAAATAATATATACACGTGTCGATGCGCGCGCATCGATTCCAGTAAAATTGGAACAAGAAGTTCGTACCGTAAGGTATCGAGCGTTTTTCCCGAGAGAAGCTGATGCCTACACGCGTTCACATATCTCGGAACGGTTATTACACACATTCATATGCAACATGGATTTTTCATACTTGTAGAAATAAAGGGAGACTGTTTCTAAAATATGGATTTACCTTCATCTTCACACCCTACCCCTGTCCAGCTCTATTAAAACGTTTTTTAACGTACTTTAGTTACTCATAACCTTGTTCTATTTCTTTATCTTTGACTAAATATTACAGAACACTGATAGCTAGTCATCTATAAATGTAAGTGACTAGAGGAAACATACCCTATAGCTACTTCTTATCATTTTCTCATTCATATTATTATTAATTTATGCGCTTTGGTACACCCGGTATAGAAAGTATAGATCAGTGGCAAGACTCTAGGAGAATTGTTGTTCCGATACTGACTGTAATTAAATAGTTATAAGCAATTTCCGATGGTATATCACAGTGAATACTCGAGGAAAGGATGGAGAGCGCAGACGGTGTGCGAGAGAGAGAGAGAGAGAGAGAGAGAGAGAGAGAGAGAGAGAGAGAG